CGCCGCCGCGGGGTGAGAGGGCGGCGGGCGGCGCTTAGGGAGGCGGCCGCCGCAGGGTGTCTGCCAGTGACGAGAGGGGCGAGTACTGAGACCCTCCTCTGCAGCTTCGCAGCCCGGCTGGCGGGTGGGCTGCTGAACGAGGACAGTCCGCTCCGCAGCGCCGCTGCTGGCAAACGCGATTCAAGTCAGAGACCTGGAGGCTTGGACCAGATCACACGGCACAGCAGGATCAGACGGGCCACGGGCCTCGGCCGCAGACCGCACACCGCCCGCGCATACCCTGCCCTGGCAAGGCTGTTAGCCAGGCCTAGGCCATACACAGCCTTTGGCGGCCAGGGGGTATTGAAAACCTGGTTCTGCCACTGTTCTAGTACGTTATTTATATTCAATTCCACAGAAACACCATGAGGTAGGTATTACTATTATCCCAATCATAGATAAAGAAAATGAGGCCTAGTGTCACAAAACTGGGAGAGCTGGAATTGAAACCCAGTCGGCCTTAATTCTTTTCTTTACCACTGCACTATACTGGCAATGATACAGAGTTGTAAAGTTTAAATGAGATAATACGTATAAAGCACTTAGCTTAACACAGTGGTTCTCAAACTTTAGCTTGCATCACAATCTCCTAGAGGGCTTGTTAAGACGGAATGCTAGACTCCATCCCTAGAGTTTTAGGTTCAGTAGTCTGGGTCAGGGCAGGATGTTTTACTTCGAACAGGTTTCTAGGTGATATTGATGCTTGTTTGAAATGAGTTGGTAGCCATGGAACAGTTGTAGGCAGGCAGGGGCGATACAACCCGATTTATGTTTTAAGAGAACTTTTACTGTTTTGTAGAGAACGGATTGAAAGGAGACAGAGGAAGCCAAAAGACCAGTTAGATTTTTTTGAGCTCCCCATAGTCCATCTGCTTCCTGAATGGTGGGTTGGTATTCCCCAGAGTGTTAGCAGTACTTGTCTTAGGAGCTGATGCAATAGGTGCTTTTCCTAATAAGTATGTATTAGAATAGAAGAAAACCCAACACATTTTATTATCATTTTAAAGAGACGTTGCTGGTTAGAACTTGGTGTTAGAGCAAGGTCAAGGGTATGCGTCCCCATCCCAGCCAGCTGCCAAAAAATAAAAATAAAAAGATGTTCCTCAGGGTTTCTCCCTGATTCTCTTCTCTCAAACTCACTCTCCAAGGAAGATCTCATTCACTGTCATGACCTCTGTTACCATCTAGATTCTCAAACTCCCATTGGCAGTCCTAACCTCTCTCCTGAGGTCCAGACTGACCCGTGTCCAACTGCTTGCTGGACATCTTCACAAGCCCCTTCAGCTCAACACCATGACCACTGGAATCATCTCTTCTCACTCCCAGATCTCTTATGGGTTCCCTTCCTTGGTGCATTGCATCAGGCTACAGCTGGGAGTCATCCTTGACTCTTTGTCTCTCTCCAGTGTCCAGTCCAGGTATGTTTTGCTCACCACTGTATTCTCCATACCACACACAATGGCTAGCACATAGTAGGCTTTCCATAATATTTGTTGAAATCATTCGTTTTTTTGAACAAATATGCATCGAATGCCATTATAACTAAATGAATGGAATCAGTGATCCAGTCCTATATCCTAAAGAGCCCTCCATTCTGGTCTAATTCTTTTCCAATCTCATAACCAGTCCCTAGTCCAGGCCATTTCAGTTTGTTGCCTTCCAACTAGTCTCCTTGACTCCAGATTTTTACCCTTCCAATCCTTTCACGTTACAAAATCCAGAGTAACTTTTTGAAAAGGCAAATATTTTGTCAATCTCTGACTTAAAACCCTTCCACAGATCAAGAAATACTGTGGAAAAATATGTTAAAAAATAAAATTACATACGATTACAAAGGTAACCATCAGATGAACTAAAAATAATGATAGAAATATATTGGGCCAATGGGGGAAGGGAAGTACAGAGTATGAGTTAAATCCATATATGCATATTTATCTTAATAGGAAGCCAGTAAACGATGTTTAAAATTAAGTAGTGGTGGGCCGGCCCGGTGGGCTTGGGAGCGTGGCGGCGCTCCCACCAAGGGTTCGGATCCCACATACAGACCGGTTCCAGCTCACTGGCTGAGCGAGGTGCGGGCGCAACACCGAGGGTTGTGATCCCGTTGCCGGTCCCGGTCCGGTACGGGTGCGACACTGAGGGTTGCGATCCGTTGCTGGACACGAAAAAAGACAAAAAAAAAAAAATTAAGTAGTGTTATAAGCTTATTGTTTAGAGTTATGGGTGTAAACCCCCGAAAAAAAATAACAAAGTGGTGCCTCTGTGGAGTGGGCCTAGAGGTGTGAAAGGGTATGGTAGGGGTAACTATATTTTTATTGTAAATCCTCTGTAACCATGGGCTGGAATTACTTGGATTAAAAGCCAAAACAAAACAAAGTTTTTCTTGGTCCCTCATTGCCCGTAGAATAAAATCCAAACACCTTCCAACCATATTCTATAATGTGGTTATTCAAAGTGTGGTCCCTGGACCAGCAGCATGACCATTACCTGGGGGCTTGTTAGAAATGCAGAATCTCAGGTCCAACCCCAGATTTACAGAATCAGAACCTGCATCTTAACAAGATTCACAGATAATTTATATGCACAAACTTAGGAAGCATCTTGCATGTAAGCCTGAGCAAGACGAAGCCCATGCAGATCTCTTCAGCTTCAATACTGACTGCTCCTCACTGGCCAGAAGAACTTCACTTTTTACTCTTTTAGTCTGAAGTCTAGCCACTGGGGTGTGTGTCTAGCTAAATTCTAGTCATTGTTTCAGACCCAGATCATCTACTCCAGGAAGCCTTCCAAACCCTCTGCAGCTCTGTTACCACTGTTCCTTAAACTCCCACATCCCTGACTGAGGCTGCTTAGTCTTCATGCAGAAAACATTTATTGGGCGCCTGCTGTGTACCTAGCTGGATTCAGTGCCAACGTGGGGAAAAGCAATGAGCTCTCCGAATGCTCCTTCAGGTCCAAATGTGAGATCGCGCCGCCCCACGCCATCCAGAGGCTGTGTGCGCAGCACTCGAATATGTAGCTACACACTGCTGTGCGCGGCTTTTCTGAGTGTTACGGCGCCCTCCTCCTGCCCCCGCGCGGCGCGGGCGGGGACCCACCGGTTCCGCTCCGCTTTAGCTGCGGGGAAAGGAGGACCCCTGGGAGCGGGACCCTGGCGTCTGGTCGCCCAGTCTTGTTTAGGCTTGGGCCCGCATGGAGGGGACCGTGGAGTCCCAGACGCCTGACCTCCGAGAAGTGGAGGGCAAGGTGGGCAGGAAGACCCCCGAAGGGCTGCTCCGCGGGCTGCGAGGCGAGTGGGAGCCGGGAGCCTCTGGCGCCCTGCTCCTCCCGGGGGAGCCTAGCACGGGCCACAGCCTGGGGGACAAGATCGTGGCTCTGAGGATGGAGCTGGTGAGTGTGGGATCCACGGGCCGGGGGGGACGGGTCCCCAGTGTAGAGCCGGAAGGGAGACTCACGCCCCCAGAGTTAGGCTGGAGAGGAGGGAGTTAGAACTTCCCACCTGACTCCTCAGGATGACTCCCAGATCTGATCAATCCACAAACCCTGGGTAGGGGCGGAGTGACGTCCTTTAATTACCCTAAGAGTGAGTGAGGTGTTGATGGGTCTTGAGAACTTGGGGTGGGAGGCACAGGCTGATGGAAATTTTTCCTGCCAAATGGGAGCCGGGAGGTGAGGGCTGGAAAGTACTGAGAACCTAGCACAGCACAGATTCCCGCCCGCCTCCCACCCACCCCACCTTAGGGACCACCTATTTCCCGCCCCTCAGCCCCCATCGTAAGGCAGCCAGTTTTTTCTCGTCAACTGGGAAAGGGTTTGGTTCCTGAGACCCTGGTGTTTATGACAGGGTTCAGCACAGAAGAGATGTGGGTGAAGGGCATATTTGCTGACTGCCTGGACTAGGGGAACTGAAAACATCCTCTGTTTCCTCAACAACCCCCCAGCTCCACTTAAAATATTTGCAAATTCCTAGACCCCTAGCAGAGACGGAGTAGCAGCACCAGCAGTGTTGATTCCCTCACCTGAGACTCAATCTAACTAATCTCCAGGTATATTGGGTTTTTGGATCTCACCTGTACCTTCTTGGGGAGAAGAGGAAACAGCAACTCTCCCCTTTCCCTGTTGCTGCTGGTCTAGATTCAGAGCCAAAAGGGCAGCTGGGTCCCCAGCAGGCTCCCTAGGGCCCTGATTCCGGTGAAGGAGGTGATTTACACCTGCTGCCACTTTGTAGCCAGTTCTGGGGAACTGAGGAATTGCCAGCCGCTCCCTCCACTGGGCCCAGAACCAGAAGCCACAGTGAGTATGTCAGCAAATAAGTCTTCCTGGAACCCCACTGTGAGCCCAGCTCTGTGCCAGGCTGATCTGTGAGGGATCAGAGGGAGGGTCATGAGGGCTCCCAGACCAGCCAGGGCTCTCACTCCCTGAGATGAGAGGCTGGGAGGAGAGCCTGGTCGGTGGAACAGTTAGGGAAGGTTCCCTGGGGGAAGGACTTGAATGCCAAGTGTGTGCTTGGCGTTGAAGGTTGCAGGTGAGTGCCAAATTCTCCAAAGCAGGGCTGTGACTGTACCTACCTAAGGGGGGAGGTGGGACTGGCTTTGGCTCATTGTACAAACCTTACGTCAAGGCCTAGAAAGAGCCTATCTAGACTGCCCTGCTTTGAAAATGAACTTTCATGGACTGCAGGTGCCAGGCATCTTGCTGAGTTCTTTATATCTTAATCCTCACAGCAACCCTATTAGGTTAGTGATATTTCATAGATAAACAGAGGCACAGAAAGGCTAAGTAACTGGCTAAGGTCATGCAAAAAGTAATAAGCAGAGCCGGAATTTGAACCCAGATCATCTGACTACACTTTACATCTTTACCGTTGAGACCTGCTTTGTGCCAGACACTTTAAACACATTTTATGTCATTGAAATGAGAAAAGTGGTCATCAATTCTGCCATCTCACAGATGAAACCTGCTTGCAGGTGTTCAGGGGCTTGCCTGAACTCATATAGTGGAGGAGCCATTCCTAATCTCACTGGCTCTAACTCTCTTCTGCCTTGGTGGAGACTACCTGTTTGTAAACTTTAAGGAGGTACAGTTAACTTCTGATTTTGTCTCTCTGTACTCTTGACCCAGCTGGCCTGGGGCTTGAGGCTGCCTGTGAAGAGCACAAGGGAGGGAGCCCTCTGGGGCTGGAACAAGGAGAGGACCCCTACCCCATTACTTTCTCCCTCCACAGGCCAGGATGTCATTGATCCCTTCATGCACTCTGCCCTGCCCAATGGGTTGCACTCAGGAAGGACAAGGGGTGGGGCAGGGGTGGGGCAGGGGGTTTCCCTTGGAACCACTGGAGGCAGGACTGGTTCAATCTAAGGACTGTCCTTCAATTGTCCCTCTCTCAGCTCTCCTTACAGGGAGTGGGCAGGCCTGCCCTTGGGGCCAAGGTCAACTCTGCCTCCAGGCCTCTTTCCTCTCGCTTCCCTCCCCCTTTCAAAGGTTGACTGAAAGAGCCAGACTCTGGAATATGTGGGAATGGGAAACAATGGCAACATTCCCTCCTTAGTTCTCTGACCCAAAGAACGGTTGCTATGACAACCCACCCCCATGGAGTGGTATGAGAAAAAGCTTTAGGCAAGAAGAACGAAGTCATGGGTTCAAGTCCTGGCTCTCTTTCTGAATCATTTTGTGATCTTTAGCAGGGCCCTGTCTGTCTCCTGGCCTCAGTTTTTCTGCCTCTTGGTGGTGGTGAGCTTGGGGTAGGTGGGATTGTGGAACCAGATGATCTGTAAGAGTCTTTCTAGTGACAACAGTCCGGGATTCTCAATCCACCACCAGGGAGCTAGGGCTGGGATCTCCACCTTTTACCCCAGGGCCTGATTTAGATTGAGCAATGAGAGAGCTATACCTAGGACACCAGGGCTGGGCAGAGAGTCTGATATGTCTATGTTAAAGGGAAGAATAGAAAGCCTGAACCTCCTGGGAAGAGAATTGGGTTAGGGTAGCCTCTGAGGCTGCACGTGGCCTGAGCTGTTTATCCCCCACTCTATTTCCAAAGAGATTATGTGAAATGAGTGTTTCTTTTCTTGGCAAGAAAGCCTTGCTTTCTTCTATTCTGGGGAGTGATGCTGTCATAGTCAGGGAATCCCACTGTCACAGGATTGTAGAATCTGGTCCTGAGATTCATTTCCCAGCAACACAGAATAACCCAGTCCCTGAACCCTGGGAACCATCAGTGAGGCTGAGGATAGTAAAGGCAAGAGAATCACAGAACTGAATGTGACCTACCCAAACCTAGGCCAAGCACCAGAAATTAATTGGGCAGGACCTGCTCTGAGGAAGCTCAAGTCTGGGTTAAGGAAGGAGGCAGACAGACTAATGACTCTAGCACAGGATGTATAAGTACTGTTGGAACCCAGGGAGGGCCTCCTGGAAGAGTCTTGGCTATAGAGTGACACCATGGTCGGGTTTGTGCCCTGGAAAAGTCACTTTGAATTAGAGGGGGCAAAGGCTGTTTCCTCTGGTTGGAATGCTTCTCTCCACCTCTTTATCTGGCTAAGTCCTACTTAATCTTCAAGTCTCAGCTCATGTCCCTTATCCTAGGAAGCATTTTCTGACCTCAGCCCTCTGTGCAGCAGTTGTTTCCCCTCGCATTTGCCACACTGAATTTTGAGTGCTTGCTTTATTATCTTATCTTACTCACTAGACTATGAACCCTCTGAGGGCAAGAAATGGTCCCTTTTCTTCCTTCATCTAACACAGTGCCACGCCGAAAGAAACATTCAGTAAATATTTGTTCCATGACTGACTGAATGAATTCCATCCTGATGAAGGGCAGGGAAGACTTCCTAGAGGTGGCGGCATTTGAGCTGGGCCTTGAAGAGTGAATAAAGTCATTGTAAATTGCAGTTCCCAGTGGTAGATTGAACTCGTGCATTTACCTCCATTCCCTAAAAAGCCAATAGAAGGATTATTTTAAAAGGCATGAAGCCATTACGACAATGAGAATAAGAGAGAAAATGATAGGAACAAAATTTTGGAAGCTGAAAAACAGAAGGGAGAGTGGTGACAAACTCAGACCTGAAAAAAGCTGAATCCCAAACCAGCAATGGGAAAAGCTGAAAAGCAACCCATTTTATACTACAAAAACCCTTAAAGGTCTTAGGAGTTGGAAGCACCAGGTATTTCTGGAACTTGGGGGCACAAGTGAGGCTGAAACAAAAGGGTTTGTTGAATGTCTGTTTAAGAATCATATACCCTGACCTGATCATTGTACAACATATATATGTATCAAAACATCAAATTTACCCCATAAGCATGTACAATTACAAAATGTCAATTAAAATTTTTTAAAAATCCTTAAAAAAAAAGGAATCATATACTAAGATCCCCTTCCTAACTGTGCAACCATATGCCAGCCACTCCTTTATCTAGCAGAAGACTGGAGGAAAGACTGTTTTGGAAAGAGTAGAATGGAAGGAATGAACTAAGGGAGGGATAGAGAGAGGGGAGAAAACAGCAGAAGAAGAGTTTTTTTTTTTTTTAAAAGATGACCGGTAAGGGGATCTTAACCCTTGACTTGGTGTTGTCAGCACCACGCTCAGCCAGTGAGCGAACCGGCCATCCCTATATGGGATCCGAACCCGGGGCCTTGGTGTTATCAGCACCGCACTCTCCCGAGTGAGCCACGGGCCGGCCCAGAAGAAGAGTTTTTTAGTATGAGTTTTGTTTAATGCATTTAGTCTGGTCATGGACTAGGACTGTTGTTTTCCCTGTTAATATACTCATATTTGTCCCCAGTATGAAAGAATTGAAGATAATCTCCTTTATCATGTCGTTAATAATCTGTATGGTCTGTGATATCTCAGTTATTTATGTTCATCTCTCCTTATTGAGACTGCAAGCTTCTGTTAAGCAGCGACAATTTCTTCATTATCTTTGTAATTATTAGAAAATCCAAGTACCCAATAATTACTTGTTTAATTTAATGAGATTTGTGATATTCTTCCAAAAATGCAAATAACTTCGGGTGTAAAATCTTGTTCTGTGTTTATGCCATAGTAAATAAGTTGACCATAGTAATACATAGAGCCGAATAGCGATCATGTATTGCCTAACTAGTACTTGTCAGGTAGTATGCGATGCATATTAGTATATTCATTTCATTTCTCAGGACAAGCCTTTAAATTAGATGGTATCCTCATATTATAATAAAAAAATGGAGGTTTAAAGAAAAAAAAAGTCTCATTAATGGCAAAACTGGAATTTGAATCCAGGTCTGTTTAATTCCAGTGGCTAGTTTTTTTCAGTGTACAAATGCTTGGTCCTACTCTGGTTTATCATTGTAGATGTAAATAAAACAATTATTTCCTGAATAATTCAATAAACATTCATCAAATGCCATATATAGACGGAGAATATAACAGATAATCACCAGACTGGGAGACAGCAGCACAGTTGAGGGCAAGAGATATCAAATTAAAATGTACTAAATATTGGGCCGGCCCGTGGCTCACTTGGGAGAGTGCGGAGCTGATAACACCAAGGCCGCGGGTATGGATCCCTATATAGGGATGGCCGGTTTGCTCATTTGGGAGAGCGTGGTGCTGACAACACCAAGTCAAGGGTTAAGATCCCCTTACCGGTCATCTTTTAAAAAATAAAAAATAATAAAAATAAATAAATAAATAAATAATAAAATAAAATAAAATGTACTAAATATTATGAAATATCCCTCCCAGACTTTATCCCTACTTGGCTTGCAGAATATTGGCAGCCTTGCTTACATTATACTTTCTAGATGGGTACAATATGGGAAATATGATGAACCCAAGAGAAAAAAAAAAAAAAAGATACTGGCTTCAGACATTCTCCAATCAAACAGCCCAATCAAATCACCCTGTAGTGAGGCTCAGAGTTGACAAGCCCATACATACAAATAGAATTTTCAATCATTTTATTTATTTTTTGCCAATTGGCCAGTACAGGAATCAAACTTTGGACCTTGGTGCTACCAGCACCATGTGCTAACCAATTCAGTTAACTGGCCAGCCCCCAATCAGTTTAGAGACCCTCCCTGAAGTGTGAGCAGCAGTTAAAGACTATAAGACATCTCATCCTCTAATAATATAGACCTAAACAAACAGAAAATAAAAACAACTTGAATGAAATGGAGATAACACAGGGAGATGAGAACTTATAAAAATCATTAACCTTGGGCCGGCCCGTGGCTCACTCGGTAGAGTGCGGTGCTGATAACACCAAGGCCCCGGGTTCGGATCCCATATAGGGATGGCCGGTTCGCTCACTGGCTGAGCGTGGTGCTGACAACACCAAGTCAAGGGTTAAGATCCCCTTACCGGTCATCTTTTTAAAAAAAAAAAAAAAAAAAAATCATTAACCATATCCTTAAGGAGATAAAAAAAAATACTGTAGCCATGAACAAAAATAGGAAGCTATTAAAAAAAAAAGAAAACATTCAGAGAACTAGAAGCAACACTGGAAATATAAAATATGACTTAAAAAGAAAAGGCTGGCCAGTTAGCTCAGTTGGTTAGAGCTTAGTGCTGATAACACCAAGGCCCAGGGTTTGATACCTGTACAGGCTAGCAACCAAAAAAAAAAAAAAAAAAGAAAGAAAAAAGAAAAACTCAAAAGAAGAGTTGATAATGTTAAAGTATTTCAGAAACTAGGGCAGATATAGAAAGAGATGGAAGAGGAAAAAAAAAAACACCACAAGAATAGAAAAACATTGAAGGAGGGGAGAAATAATCATCAAATAAATAAGAAAAATCTGCCAGAACAGAAGGACATGAATTTCCAGATTGACAGAACCCATCAAGTGGCCAACTCAATGTATGAAAATAGACCCAGACCATGGCAAATTTCTGTGAAAATTTAGAACACTGGGAACAAGGAGTAGATCCTAAAAAATTTACAGCAAGAGTGCGAAAATGGTCACATCCAAGGATCAGGAATTAGAATGGCACTAGCCTTTCAAAGTGTAACACTGAAAATTAGAAAACAATGGAACAATGCCTTAAATCCTGAGGAAAAGTTATTTTCAACATAGAATTATGAACCCAGTCAAACTATCAACAGTGCATGGTGAGACTAATAACATTTTAAAACATGCAAAGTTTTGACAAAGTTACCTCCTATGCAGAATTTCTCAGGATGCTACTGGAGGAAAAGCACCACTTACCTAAATGGAGTAAATCAAGAAAAAAAATATGGGATCTAAGAAACAAAGGATTCAGTGAAGGAAAGAGGCAAATGGAATCCCCAAGACAATAGCAAAGGGTGATCCCTGGACGAGAATTGTGCAGCGGAAACAGATTGGAGCAGATCAGGAGGCTCCTAAAGAGATGCCTCTAAAGGATGAACTAGATAGAACATATGGTATGTTTGAAAGCCTTGAGAAAGAAATTAAGACAATTAGGGGAGAGTTTGGGGATGACTTACTGATAACTACATAACAAAGCAAAATCATAATTCTAAGTAAAACATAAAGTTGTGATAAATAAAAAGTTACTATAGTAAAATACATGGCTTAGCTGTAAATAGCATTTCCAAATTCTAAGAAGGTAAACACTGAATAATTTTACTATAAGGAGGTTGGGGAGATGGGAAAGGTGTCTGTATGGCCGGGAAGTGGGGAGTGGGCAGGGAAGTTAAATCCTTAACCTTCTATAGTGTGGGAAGTCAATAAAAACACCTAAAACTTAAAAATCAAGAAATTGCACCATAAGGATGTTATTTGGAGAGTAGTAGGTAAATACCAAAATAAACAGCTAAAAAATTAATGGTATTTCTCTTTGGGAATTGGGATTTAGGACTATGATAGGGAAACTATTATTGTTCATAATAAACCTTGTAGAACTGTTTACCTCTTTATGTGCCTCTGTTACTTTGATTAAAAGTAAAACTTAATAAAATTAAATTTGATAAGTCATGTTGTAGCAGGACCTTGGGTTCACAGAGAAGTATGCTAGAGGTGAAATGAGAGAGATGGGCAAGAGCTGTATTATGCCTCGCTTTTGAATGCCAGCTGCTAGAGTGTTTAGAGTTCCTCCTCTAAGCAGTGCAAAGTTCCCTGGTAGTCTCATGGTTAGGATTCAGTGCTCTTTAAGAGCAGTGCGAAGCTCATAAAGGCTCTTGAGCAGGAGAGGGACAGGTTCAAACTTGTGCTTGGGGAAGGCAACTCAGTGCACCTGAGCTTGGAAGGGACCCTGGAGATTACCAGTAAGTAAACTTACTTCCAGTACAGACAGGGAGACTGGTATGTGGTAGAAGGAAGCCCTGAATCCCCAGCTAGTGGGATTCTGATCCTTTTAAACTCTGGCTCTTTCCTCCCTCAGCACCTGCTACCAACACCTTGAAGGAACTAGGGAACCAGGTTTACTCCCTTTTTATTCCCCAGCTTCTACCTCCTTTTGGCCCAGTCTGCTTCCCAATTAACACTCTATCAGGCTGTTGTTTGGCTGTGTATAAGTCTCACTGGTGAATCTGGACCATTTCAATAGTTAATACCCTAAATATGAAATTCAAAGCTCAGTGGGATTGGATTTTAATACTTAACATTTACTGAGACCTTACTCTGTGCTAGGCACCAGACTGAATACTTAACAGAATTTCAAAATCCTCACAGCCTGTGAGGTGAGTGATTTGGCCTTGTTTTGCAAACAAGTAAACTGAGGCTCAAAGAAGACAAGAAAGCTGCCCATAGTCATATAGCTAATTAGTGGTAGAGCTGAAATTTTAAACAGCACAAAAAGGCCACACTCTTTATATTTCCAGGTGTTTTTTTCTTTTTGGCTGGCCAGTACAGAGATCAAACCCCGGCCATTGTGTGTTATCAGCACCTCTCTCTAACCAAGTGAGCTAACCAGTCGGCCCTAAACCATTGTACTTCCATGCTTCTTGGAAGTGAAGCATAATTGGTTGGCCCATAAGGTAGGAGCCTCTGGAAACACTGAGGAAACCCATGGCCCAGAACCTAGGACTAATTTCTTCTCCTACTCCCTCAGGCTTACCTGAGAGCCATTGACGTGAAGATCCTGCAGCAGCTGGTGACCTTGAATGAGGGCATCGAGGCAATACGTTGGCTGTTGGAGGAGCGGGGCACATTGACCAGCCATTGCAGCAGCCTCACAAGCAGCCAGTATAGTCTGACAGGCGGGAGCCCAGGCCGCTCAAGACGAGGCAGCTGGGACAGCCTGCCAGACACCAGCTTCACTGACCGGCTGGACAGTGTCTCTATTGGCAGTTTCCTGGACACGGTGGCCCCCAGCGAGCTGGTTGAACAGGGCCCCCCAGGGGCTCCCCATCCTGAGATGGACTGGGCAAAGGTTCTACCTGGTGGGGGGAGGGCCAGGATTGAGGTGGACCTGATAGCCACCAAGCTAGGGAGCTTGAAGGCTGTACAGAAGCCCCCAGGGGAGGGGCTCCAAGGTGGACCACCTGAGTCACCAGAGGACGAGAGTGCCAAGCTGGGCTTCGAGGACCACTGGTACTGGGGGCAGTGCCAGGATGATGTGACCTTCTTGTAACAACTTTCCCACCCTTTTGTACCTCTGTGGCTCTTTCATCCCTCAGCCCTGGTCTCCCTCAAAATTTATTCTCCCTCAGTCTGGGACTAGGAAGAGGCTGTACTGAAATTAGTTACCACGGAAACCTGGCTCTCTCCTGGTCCTTAGGGAGTCTCTGCCTTTATCCTTTATTTAGCAAGTCGCTACAGCTATTTCCATAGAAATAGTGACTCTAGAGGCTTGGCCTATGGCTCCTAACATAATGGTAGCTCTCCCCTCTCCCTCCTGACTAGGTAAGGAATTTAGGACCCCCAGGAGATCACTGATAAAGAGATGGGGGTACAAATACCTCACTCAAATTCTAGAAGCCTTGGCCCCTATTTTGGCCAAGATGGAGGATTGAGAAGGGACATGGGGGCCGAGCCCGTGGTGCACTCGGGAGAGTGCAGCGCTGGGAGCGCGGCGGCGCTCCCGCCGCCCGGTGCGGCTGGTCTCAAAAAGGACAAAAAAAAAAGAGAAGGGACACGGACATTCCCAGAAGCCTTTGGGGTTGGTAGGCCCACCCCTTCGTATCTGCTGAGTGATGTCATTTCCTGCCAGGATGGACTAGCCCTTCCTCGGTGCCAGTCCTTGGGTGGTGATAGAATGGTATAAGAGTGTCTGAGCCCCTGCTTCTAAGTGAGACCATATCATTTATTGTCTATACCATTACTTCTTGTGAGTGAGAACACATCGTCCCTCCTGGCAGGAAAGTTTCTCATTGTCAGAGGTTTGTGCTTCTTTTCAGAAGGTTTTTCTTTTTAAACAAGGTGTTTTTACTTTATCCTCGGGGGCCTCACTTCCTCTGTGATGCATCTGTGGTGCCAGCACTCCCATCCCTGTGCTGTGAAGGAGAAAAACCATCAGCAGCCTTCCCCTCTGGCTCTCAAGTCTGTCTGGCCTGGCCTGGCACAGTCTACTGTCTTACCCTGTCTCTGGGTTGTCCTCATTCCTGTATTCTGGCTCTATATCTGCCTGCCAGAGGTCCAGCTTCTGTGTCTCTACACCTTCTCAGTTTCCTCTTCAGGCCTCAGGCCTTTTTCATGCAGATGATTCCTGGCCTCTTCTCCCCATTGCTGATGGGAGCCAGGTCTCAGAGTTCTTGGGGTGTACCAGCATTTTGGATGCGGTTGGAGGTGTCATCTTCTTTGACTTTGTAATTACCCTTCCCTCACCCTGCCCCCTGCCTTCCACCGTTTGGTCACAAGGATGCCTGCCTGAGGTTGGGACACAAGGAATCCCCTTGTCTGGACTACAATGTGGAGGCATGGCAGGGAAAGACAGAGGCGCTTTGGTCCCTGGGCCCCATCCTGGGACAGGGAGGGAGCAAGGGAAAGTCCTCTTTGCTTCTTCCCTTAGAGCAAGCCCTTGATTCCTGGGACCAGAGGAGGGAGTAGGGACTGGTCTGGGTCTGGGTCTGGGTCATAGAGCCCTAGGGAATTACACCAAAGAAGGAATTTAGGGAAGCTGCCACCCTGGGGCTCAGGGAGGGGACAGGCCTAGAGAGAGGAGGGACAATGGCTATAGCTGACATCAGAGAATGAATTCTTGGAGGTTAACCCTTTGAACCCCAGGTAACTCCCCATATATTGGTCTCTATCTTTCCTGGGCCCTGAAACTAGAGTACTGGAAGGGAAAAAGGAGGGAAAAGGATGTCAGATGATCTTTGGCTGTTCACTGTGCCCTCCTAAGTTAGAGGAGTCTTCCCCAAATCCTGGAGTAACTCCTGCTGTTTCTCTACTTCTCTTTCTATGTTGGCAAAGGAAAGGAAGCCAAGTAGGTCATCTCTACTTTACCTAAACTCCTCAAGACTTGTTTTGGAACTGCTACCTGATAACAAAAAAATCTGCTATGACCAGGTTGGCTAAATTGTAGTGCCTTGGGAGATTTGGGATAAGTCAGTAGTCAGGTCCATGTCCGCATGTCCTGGAAAACATTATCATAAGACCATTTTTACTCAGAAGCAGACATGATGGCACCAGAAAGTCATAAAATAACCTAGAATGCTTCTAACCCTTACCCTAGATCCCTGCATATAAGATACAACCCAGTAACAATCCCAAATCTGTACATTATGTACAACCAATAGAAAAACTGATGAAGTGACTGGGTAGAGCTGTCTCTCTCTCTCTCTCTTTGATTCTTCCCCCTTCATGTGATTATAAAATGCTGAGCTCTGCTGGTCCTCTTTGGAGCGCATTTCTCAGGGCGACCCGACCTATGTGTTTCCCTGGTTGCAATGGTCATATTGGCCCAATAAAACCTATGCTTTATATATTCAGCCTCAGTTTGTTTTAGGTCAACACACTCTGATCCTTCTGGAGCAATACATCAGTCCAGGGCTCTCCCCTAAGGACCCTCTGTCCTCCCATCCCCTGAAAGTGATTGAAATCTCCAGAGTACATTCTCAGTCTCTTTGCTGCCCACCAGACCTCTCCTTACCACTCCTCATGGCCCTGGGGTTCCTGACTTCCCTCAGACTGGAAATTTGAGTTCCTATTCCAGTCCCTACTCTGTTGCCATTTTGTAGTGTGTCCTTGGGTAACTACCGTTGTTCATTGTGTTCCTCTTTAGGGCTCACCTGTTCAGCTACAAAGTCCTGAGCTGAAGAGATTGCCCTCCCCCTTGTGGCCATTTTGCACCATTGCTGGAGTTGCTGATTAATGGGTGGAACCTCTGAGCTCAAAATACTGTCCCGCCTTCCAGAAGACCAGTTCCCTCAGTGCACAGACAGGCTAGAGAGTCAGGCCTAGAGAGGGCATAGACTTGCCCAGCGTTACCCATTGTAAGCCTGTGGCAGTGCCCAGGTTAGAGAACGCAGATCATCTGCCTGCATGCCCACAACTCCACCACTTGGCCAGGCTATTCTCAGTCAACACCACTGAAGCCCAAAAGGACGAGAAGCAATTTTCCCTCTGTTATAATGTTCAAGTTTTCACACCACCCTAAAAAAAGCAGCTCGGTCTTTAGAGAAAGAGCTTCAGGCTGTGAGGAAAGAGAACCTGGGGCCTGGCCCGGGTGAAGGGTACATTAGTTTGGACTGCAGTTTGAGGAAAATCAATCTCAGACCAACCATTTTTTCTGGGAAGGGAGGGGGAAAAGGTCTAGACATTATGGGGACAGAGCTCAGCATTTCGGACCTGGAGGTTAGAAGCAGGGGTTGGGGTAAGGAACGGTGAAGTTAGGGAATCCAGATCTTAAAGAGGTGGGTGGGTGGTGGGGCTTCACAGGTCAAGGAATTACAGGCCAGTTGGATAAGCACCTGAGAGTAGTGAAGAGCTAAAGAGGTGGGGTGAGTGAGGCTGTCTGAGTACTCCAGGTAGGTCTAGGCATCTTCTCTGAATCCCTTAGATGACAATTCACTGCGAGAGAAGCCCAGAAGCCCCAGTAAACACACATCCTTTGTCCTTCCTACCTGCCTCTAGAATGTCTGGTTAAGGCACAGCTCTGCTGTTAGCTTAGGTTTTTCCAGGTTTCAGGGAGAAGCTGTTAGGAGCTCAAAGAAAGGAGAAGGGAGGAAAAGGGAGACAGGAGCAGAGAGACGAGAGAATAAGAGGAAAACGGGATGTTGAAAGTATGATCACAGGGAACATACAGCCAAGTGTGCTGGGAGCTTTTGTCAGGGCTCAGGGTAAAGGCAGAGATAAGACTGCTCCTGCCAGCTGCAGGAACAGCTGGGAGGGTAAGGAGTGGTGCTGGCTGGGATGGGTCCATCAAGGGGACATGAGACCATGTTAGTGGGCAGGTGTCAGGGCCTACACTTAGGATGGGGACGGTGAGGTTGAGCACTGGGCTGACTGGAAGCTCAGTGGCAGCTTCGGTGAGAAAGCTGGGGGGTTGGAGTGGACACAAGCTCACTGTGTGTGTGGTACCAGGCACACGCTGGGTGTTCAGTGACACCTGTTCAATGAATGTGTGTAAATCCAAAAGGATGTTACGTTTAAAAAAAGCAAGTTGGTCAGTTATAAATTAGGTAATCTAAAACATAATTCTATTTAATTCTTAGCAACTCTATAAACAATGCATTGTTAGCAATGTAGTATTGCTTAGAAATTTGCTCAAGGTCAGATAGGTAACGAGCTGTAATATGAACATAGATCTGTCTGACTGCAGGGCCTTCCAGGAAGTCTTCTGATTGCCCATCCCACCCCACACTCACAAAGACCTCACTGGCCTAGGAGAACAGATTAGTGCTGCCCAGCAGCAGGGGCAGTGTGTTAGGTTCCTATTATTGCTGTAACGAATTCCCACAAAAATAAATGTATTATCCTGCAGTTCTGGAGATCAGAAGTCTGAAATCTGTTTCACTGAGCTAAAGTCAAAATGTTGATAGGCCTACATTCCTTCTGGAGGCTCTAGGGAAGAATCTGTTTCCTTGCCTTTTCCGACTTCTGGAGGCTGCTTGCATTCCTTTGTTCATGGCTCCCTCGTCCATCTTCAAAGCCAGCAGCATAGAATCTTCTCTCCTCCCTGACCTCTGCTTCCATCCCTACATCTGTCTCTCTAATTGTACTATCTCCCTCTTATAAGGATTACATTGGGCCTACTGGGATAATCCAGGATTATCTCTCCATCTCAAGATTCTTAATCATATATTCAAAGTCCTTTTGCCATTTAAAATAAAATATTCACAGGCTCTGGGGATTAGGAAGTAGACATCTTTGGGGGAAGGGCTGTTACTACACCTGCTAGAGGAGAGGCACGGATGGAGGGTGGGCAGAAGGATGCACCCAGGACCAGATGAACCTCTGTGCTTTGTCCAGCCTCCCTCAGTCTGGAGTGAGGGGTGGTGCCAAGGGGGAGATGGCAGGTCCAGGCTCCATGTCTGGAGAATGGCAAGTGCCTCCTGCTAAATCACACCAGGGAGGTCTGAGGGTGAAGGTGAGACTTGAGAAAATTTCTCAGTTTAGGGAACTCTTTAGACCTGAGGCCCTCCTGGTGACCACGATGGAGGATTCCAGCAGGCTCTGTCCTCAATACTGTCTCCTCTCCAGAGCCATTTTGTGCTCCTGCTCCTCAAGGCGGAAGATAATTACACTCCCAGTGAACTAGCCTGGGTTATCTCTGGAAAGGGTAGGTTAGGTATCTCCT